CAAAAAAGCTATCAACTTCAAATTTCCAGTCACAATAGAGAGGGATACACTTAATCGTACAGGACGTATTGTCAATCGACAAGAGGATAAAAGAGGATGGGAGGCAATTGAACTCAGCAGGCGTAAACGCGATGACTCGATTACAGTTAATTGGAAACAAAGAGAAAGTGACAGGGGAGCAACCCACTGGGCTACGCTGAACCAAAATGATAACGAAGCAGCCAGCAAAAGAGGATGGAACCTGTTTACACTGAATAAGAAACGTGGATGGGACGGCATTGACTTTCCTTGGGGAAAGCGTTCGAAAAAGGAGAACTTTCCCAAACAGAAATGGAATGGCGTGAATATTGCATTTAGAAAACTTTCAAATACCAACAAAGATTCGCAACAAGAAAGAGGTATTGCGGACAACATCATGACACAGGCATCATCTGCAGTATCGGAGGAATCACAACATCAAACGCATGATTCGGAAAGTGATGACGTTTCAAGAAAACGTGGATGGGATGGTGTTGATTTCCTCTTCAAATCACACAAAGATCCAAACATGAGAGGTTGGGGTGGTGGTGACTTTACCACTGGAAAGCGTTCAGCAGACCGGGAAGATACCAAAACAGGTTGGGATAGTGCTAAATATTCTCCTGTGAACCATTCAGATGACAAAGAGTCAAACAAAAGAGGTTGGGATGGTATTGACTTTACCTTCGGAAAGCGTACAAATAACATCAAATCACACATAAAGGGTAGTAATAGCGATGACTTCAGCACTGAAAAGCGTTCAAATGAAAATGAATCACACAAAAGAGGTTGGGGTGGTGTTGACGTTACCTTTGGAAAACGTTCGAATGACTATGAATCAAACAAGAGAGGTTGGGACGGTGTTGACTTCCCATTTGGAAGGCGTTCCGACAGTCCTTATCCGAAACAAGACTGGGCTGGTATGGATCTCGTTTTGGGTGTTGGTTTGGATACAAACCGTGTCCAGCGTGAGAAAAGAGGATGGGAAGGATTAAATTTCCATTACCGAGTTGTCAATGGTTACGGTCCTTCACAAAGTAGCGATTACCCCAAGAGAGGATGGGAGGGAGTAGACACGTGTGCTTGTTGTCGTAGCAACCGTTGGGTTTTGTGTTGTTTGACATGCAATAGAAATGATTCTAAACCAAAACAAAGACTAACGACCAAATCTTACAAAGATATGTTCTATGTTAGGGACACAGTCTGCAAATGTTGCTATGCGACAAAGGTCAAGGATTGTTGTGACCTATGTGATGTTATGTCATAAACTGTGTTACAATACAGTATATTTATATGATTTTGGATTAAGCACGACCTAATAATGAGTTTCCAATGAATTTCAATAATTTTAGCATGAAAATGGTGTTCCCTTGTTGTGAAGTATATCACATTACAAATACCAAACCGACAATACGACAAAAGATATCATCTTATCCAAATTACTTTCAGATATAGAAATAGAACAAAGAAATAGCATGACAGAAAACCGTGATTTCCTCTACAGAAATAACGCGACATGAAATAGAGGTTTGACAGAAATAGCTTGACATGTAATAGTTGTTGTACAGAAACAGCGTGGTAAGCAAAAACAAGGTCCAATAGAAACAACATGACTTGTAAGATTCGTATTGAATATCCTGTTGGATAATCCTATGACATGCATGATTATTTTAACGAATTAATCCAAATGCACGATCATCATTTAATAGAATCAACTATTTGTTGATTCTCAAATGAAATTGCAAAGTATTTTTGAGGCAAAGCATATCTGAAGAAGAAACCTTCCAGACTTTATCAGTATATAGAAATTGTGTTAAAACAGTACTTATTGCACATCCCTTTCCTTTAGGATATATCATACGTTGAATTGGTTTGTTACTCTAGTAATTTTGTTAGCAGTTTCTAGCGACACATGCTGCTTAGTAATGTTCTCCATTTGTTAATGTATCGTGCATGCATTTACATATATATATATTCTTCTTCTTTTCAGAAATTGTTTATATCTGTAACGACTTAATAGAAATGTGAAAATAACTGACCACCAATATTACAATAATATGATTTATCTGGTTACTATAACAATATGTATATCGCAGAAAAATCGATAGATATTATTCCTCCATTCAATTGAGGCGAATTCTTCACCAACATATCGAAACTATCAAATAAATTAACATTACTTTGTTCAGACATAACTAGTTGGTTGTCTATATTAAAGTTAAAGACGAATTCACACTGTTTGTTAATAAACCTTTTTCTGGGTTTTATTGAAGTAGTAGTATTTATCAGTCAAAAACAGCTTTGAAGAAAATGGAAATCGGTATAAATATTGGTGTCGTGATCATCTGTCGTTTTCTCCATAACAAGACAATGCAGCCCATTTTATTTAAGTAGGAGGATGTATCAGTCAAACACAGCTTTGAAGAAAATGGAAATCGGTGTAAATATTGGTGTCGTGATAATCTGCCGTTTTCTCCATAACAAGACAATGCAGCCCATTTTATTTCAAACTTTGAAATATTTTGTCTGATTGCTGCTAATGTAAGGAATCAGGTGTGTTTTTTTTAGATATTACTTTTAATTTCAAAAACCTTAAGCCAGTTAAGCACTTTAAATATAATTAATGACGACACCCTGATCAAAGTTTCCGGATGAAACACGGTTGTCTGATTAGATTTCGGATTTCGATTCTTTGCCATCGAAGTGAAAGAGTTCACATTGTTAATGATATAGAGAGTCTCACACGATATTCCATATGATAAGACCTTTATAAAACGTGTTAAAATGTTTAAATTTTGCTAGGCTCTTCCTAGCAAATTTGACTCTTTACAAGCTTCATAATGTTCTCATCAATAGGTTACAAATGTAAAAATAAATTATCGCATGACCGTCAGTGTAGAGCTAAATTGTATTCGATTTCGACCTTTACCTACTGATGCAAGTAACTTATTGCAGTTGCACTTACCATCATTAAAAAATCAACACACAGTTCGGATGCTTATTTCAAGTCTTTTAAATATTGACTCTTAACCACTTATATTTCGATGGTAAAACATCTATGTCCTTAAATGACGTCTTAGATCGCATGATTTTTACTAATTGTAAAATTATAAAAGATACAGATACAACCATTGCATTATATACCTTATCTTGTAATTTATACAATATGCAAGTATGCATATCATATATGCTGTGAAAATTACTAATAACTAATAATGTTCTTCCTGAAAGCTTTACATGAACAACAATGGTAAATTAAACGACGACTTGAGCGGAGTAAAAATGGTTCATTATCATAGCGTGAGAGGCGCTTGAATGTTCCTAAACCTTCTCCTAAACCTGGCTTAACATGTCGGTTGGTCAAAATTTGCAACGCGAACAATTGATGAGTTCAGAAAAAAAGGGTTTTGTTTCTCTGGTTACACGTTAATCTCATATTGCGATTTCTGAACCGAGGACTACATGACCGCGTACATTTATTACTATTATATTATATACAAATATATATTTTCTCGTAAATATTCTAGGACAAATTTATCGCCGACATGTCGCTCATACAGACACAATGAAAATACGAAACAATGGTAAGTAAATCATTTCTCGATATGGATATTCGCGAAAATGAATATTCTTGAAAAAATACGTGATTTATAGTGTCAGAAACAAGGACACAATGTGCGACATTATAGAATGAGCATGTGGCATTCTGTTGACCTGTACGAGTTGACCGTAAAACTTCATTTGTCTTGGGAAAACTCCACCCTCAATAATGATTGATCACCATACATTCTACGTCAACTAGGGGCCTGTCTTCATACATATGGATGTGGGTGATACAGTTCTGCCTCATTTCACAACAGAACGTTTGAGGTGTCAAAATCTGCATGTGAGATATTCTTGTACGACAACAGTACACCGAAAACCGATGCTCATACCACGAATTTTGCTTGTGTGCTATTTTGCTATGTGGAATCGATAACAACATATGCTTAGATGAAATAGTGTGTTCAGAATATTATTCATTTATCGTTACTTCTCTCCATCTCCATATCAATAGAGGTTGGCAGAATCGCAATCAGTGTGATATCATAAGAAAAAGGATTCAAAGTGTGACACAAATAATTAATTGTTTGTAGGTGTATAAAATTAACACTAATGGAATTGAAAATAATTTTAAACGAGAATTATGTAACTTTATGTAACTTATAATATATCCGGTGTTCGACGCAGTTCCAGTGATACTGTCAATCTCACTAACAAGGTAAATCAAAGCCTGACTGGATGTATTTGCATGTGGAAAAAATCAATAAAAAAGCAAATGAGCTCACCGTTTTTCGCTAATCCTGTATGTAGTAATTATTACAGTAGTCTGTGATTTACATTAATGTTTCGTAACGTTTCTATGACTCGTGCTGCCCGTTATTCTTGTCGTCTTCAGCCAATGAAAATGACTGACGATATCTCTGAAAAAGCGTATTTTTTTAATAATGGAAATATAGAGACCGACCGACATGTTAAGTCTTATTCAAATTCAATTTACAGCGCAACATGTAGAATTATTGAATATGGTGCAAGCATGCTTGATCTGGTCATAGAACTACTGCTTTAGTAATCGATACCACTTTCGTCAACAAGTCGACTTTAGATTGAGACAATCATTGGTTGTATAGTGCGACTGGAAAACCAAGGGTCATTTTGTCAAATTCCCATTGTGGCTTTAGACAAATGTTCCATATGCAGCAGTCACAGTACGATCGTATGAGAAAGAAACAATGATTAATGTCTAATTGGGAGATCATACAGAACTATCCTCTTATATTCATATAGCAAATGATGTATTCATAGATTATGCAGTGAGATATATCATAATTGAGTTGAGATGTGAAATATAACCATAATCAATAAATAGAAAACAACCATTTAATAGTCGTCTAATACAGGTATGTCTGAAATTTTGAGATCAGTTTATACAAATTATTCTACAAGGCAAAACACGCACACACATATAAATATATACTATTCATCTACCATCAAAAAACGAAGAGGAACTTAGATAAACGAGCAGATCCATCTTGGGTCCAAACTATCTTATAAATATATAAACACAATGTTTGAACCAGAACAGCATGCAAGCAGAGCCAACAATGTTTTTCATTTCCTTTGAAATACTGCACTTTTCATAACCATGTTATCAAAACATTGTTTTTGCCTGTCTCGCTGACAACGTTTCCTTGAGGGTTGAATCAGTTCTCAGATGGTCATCCGCCACGGGAGTGATCATTTCACTGAAATATGTACAAATTTAAAATCTACAATTTGACGTTAATGATTCGTGGTTTCAAGGTTAATAAATAGTATTTCTTCATTTGGTTTTATATCAGAACAATAAGCATCTCAACGATATCAGCCAGGTAAACATTAATGTTATCACCAATAGCATTTATTACATGCATTACATATATTTGCAAGAATAAACCCAATGAAATGGGCAAAGTCAATAGGTATATATAGTGTATAATATAAACATGTATCAATATTATACATGGAAACGCCAAAATCTGTGATAATAATCAGCTTAAGTCTAGAAACAGAGAGTTATGAAAGTTAAAAAAGTTCATAGATAAGAAATCAATACAGGAACAGAAACTGAACAAAGCACAAAGAAAAGACATCTCCAAACAGCAGCTCAGTCAAAGAAAGAGATCAAAACATAAACATTCACGAATTATATAAGTAAGGTAAAGCAATGAATGTATCGAAGTACACATTACAGAAGCTAATCACAAAGTAAGTACTTACGGAGCAGAAAGGTATTTGGGTTTGGACGATGTCATTCCTTGACCATTATTACAATCACTGTATGGTTCATATATATCCTTAATTTTCCTGTCCCTTTTTTTCGCTCTGTTAGATAAAAACAATAATATATTTGCTTCTATTGAGAGTACTTGTAAAGTACACTCAACACAGGGTCATTATGTTTGAAAAGCGGGTGAAATGTTAAGCAATAAAAAACACTAGAATCAAATGGCAGACCTTCGTATCCTAATATGCTTAAGGTAATTGTAAGCTTATATTTGGCGCTGCCAATTTAGTAACGTTTATGAAACCAATTATTGATACGTCTCCAATGTCTCGTGACAAACAACACACGTCAGATAATGTCTTCGTATGATTCAAACACAAACATTTGGAAGCGCCGTCTACCATGGTTGATAGATTAGGACATTTATGTCTTGAAGGTTATTAAAGAAAGAGGAAAGGGTTACAATCTTGTCATGTTAATTATTTATATATCAATATGCCAAGGGAAACGTCTGTGTAATAGGATGGTAAAAGGTTGAACGCTTGGCTTTTTACCAGACGTGTTCTTGAATTTTTCTTAATATTACTAATTTCTGCAGCGCCTACTCTGTTCAACTCGACATACTTCAAAGGGTAAAGTTAACCGTCAAACGTAATATCGAGAACCGCACGTCATTGAGTCAAGAATTCTGTTTTAGCATCATACATACAGAATGATTGATTGGTACAGCATCTTTGACCAGAAGAAATTCTTCAACTTGGTAATGAACTTGAAGGTAGTTTATTAAGGTCACTGTTCTTTTTCCAGGATTCTATAAAGCCTAAAGCTCCATTTGTCTCGCGTTATTTCGCGACATCACACATATACGTTAAAACTACAGCAGGACCTCCAATTATTTCATCGACAGAATGCGAAAAGGATGGTAGTCGATCTGTTACTGTTAATGAGGTGCTAACGTGTTTAGTTGGCAATCAGTTTGTAGCAAAATCCTTCAAATTAATTAATTAATAGTCAGATATATTTTCTAATTTAACATATCACAATGACATTATTATCACTTTTGTTACTGAATCAATATTTGAAGGTCATGTTATATTTCGAAAACTAGGAAATCAAATGATGTGGGATAGATTGTAAAAATAATTAATCGAAAACATACCTGATTTTTCTCCAAAGCAATATGGACACGACAACACAAACAATTCCAAATCCAACACCGAGTCCTACAGGCACGCCGTACTTCCAGACTGGAACTGTTTTCAAATTAATTCAAACAGTTCATTAGTTTATATAGATTGCGCTTTAGACATCTCCGTATCTTCTAATTTACTATTTATAAATCCTAACTAAACCTAGTGCATCTCTACTTCGAAATATTTTCTTCGGGTAAGTACATACGGAGTTCATAAGGCACGACCAGTGAAGCATTCATGTGTAAAGGTTCAATGACTAAGTACATGTACTCTGTCATCTTTATAAGACAAATAAACCTTTCGTGGGTTGGGTAACATTCTTTTGTTTTATATCTATGACACCATGCCAGTTTATAAAATTATATATATATATATATGTTTAGAACGCGGAATATTTTTTTCCTAGCAATCAATTCTGTTCTATAAGAGATATTTATATTGTGTTTTTAAGAATAACTTATTCCGATATATCAATTTCGCTAGAACAACGCTATAAAGATGTGATACAAAATATAAATATAAAAGAGAATATATGTTAAAGATAGTAGAGAAATATATTGTTATGCAAAACAAAACCATTTAGTCTACCCTTGTGGTTTCCCAATTAGCCGGTTAACATTCATTATTTCACTTGGTTTTCACTGCTGAGAGAACTTACCAGTATGGGAAGGAATATCTACGCGAACTGAAATTTAAGATATATACATCAGATGAGTATCTAGAGAAAGTCAATACACTGTGTTGTATCATATATTAACTTGAAGAATAATGACAACTGTTTCAAGCAATTCAGTGTTTTCGCTCATTCATGGATTTTTTTATGTTGAATGGAAATAGTAAATTATAAATTCACATTAATATAATGCCTTGCAAAACATAGCTATCTTGTTGCGTCCGAAAACATGTCATCAAAATACATATTCACATCAATATTTCTCAGAAGACGAATACGTTTTTATACATGTAGACTTTAATCAATTCTAAGTTTTCGGGAAGCCAACCTTTTTTTATAAAGCAGATTTCGAAGAATGAGGAATAAAATTCAATTATATATCATACAACATGGTCGCAAATTTACATTGATGAATCCGAAGTTAAATAACAAAGATAACAAGAGGCCCAGAGGGCCTGTATCGCTCACCTGGATATCTAAGCAATCATGGCAAAATATTCTCCAAATGAGATCAAAGGGAATATGCCAAACCCCAAGGCCAATCCTTGTAGCATATCGATATTAGATTGTTTATGCCCAGCAATTTTACGTATGGTTATGGGGTGGGGATCTCAACTGTTTCCAAGCTGTGACTCAGAAACAAGGTCCCTAGGGTTTTGGCTAGACCCCAGGATCAATTATAATATCATGACTGCATTTGTCTCTTTTTGCCCAGCATTTGTATATATAGTTTTGGGGTGGGGATCCCAACCGTTTTAAAGTTATGGCCCAGGGACTATGTCTCCAAGGGAGGGGCCAGACCCTAGGCCATCATGGAAGCAAATGTGCATTCTTCTCTTTATACTCAGCAATTTTATATATGGTTATTTGGTGGGGATCTCAACCATTTCCAAGTAATAAACTTATTTTGGCCCCACCCCTTAGCCCGGGGGATCTGCCCCACTATTTGTACAATTTTGAATCCCTGCCTCCCATGAATGCTTCCGACCAAATATAATCCAGAGCCATGGCATAGTTCTACAGAAGAAGTCGTTTATAGCAATATAGCCAATTTGCCCCGTTTTGGCCCCGATATCAGCCCCCTGGGGGGTCAGCCCCACCATTTGTACAATTTTGAATTTCCATCACCTAGGGATGCTTCCAGTCAAATATGGTTGATATCCATCTCTTAGTCCAAGAGAAGATGTCGCTTAAAGCAATAAAGCCAAATAACCCAGCCCTGCCCCTCAGCCCCCTGGTGGGTCAGCCCCACCATTTGTACAATTTTGAATCCCCATCACCTAGGGATGCTTCCAGTCAAATATGGTTGATATCCATCTCTTAGTTCCAGAGAAGAAGTCGCTAAAAAGCAATAAAGCCAAATTGACTCCTTTTAGCCCCGCCCCTCAGCTCCCTGGGGGTCAGCCCCACCAATTGGTACAATTTTGAATCCCCACCACCTAGGGATGCTTTCAGTCAAATTTAGTTAAATTTCAATCAGTGGTTAAGAAGAAGAAGTCGTTTAAAAAAAGTGTTGACGGACGGACGACGGACGACGGACGGACGACGGACGCCACGGTATGGCATAAGCTCACCTTGGTCCTTCAGACCAGGTGAGCTAAAAATGTTACAAAGGCAAGTCACCGTTGCAATCCTCCACCCCGATAGAAGCTTGTCCTTCTGTAGTGAACCCCACGGGACAGTTTACGCATGATGTCTTCCCAACCTGACTCTGGTATGACCCTACGGCACATTTCTTACACTCATCTCCACTGTGATATCTACCAAGACTGCACGGCACTGAAACACATCCCAAATAATCAAAGCGAAATGAAAATTATATGTTATACACGGCTATATTTGAAGCTGTGATATGTTCTAAACTATCGGATTTTTACGGTTACAAAATAGATAGCAATCAAATTTCATCAACCATTAAACCGCAAACTATTTCGTTTGATAGAAGATTTGGGGTTTTTCCTATCAAAAAAGTGTCTTGCCATTTAATCATAAGAAATGAACAACGTGTAATATTTGTATAATAATTTAACTATTTATCTAAATTCTTCGAAAGTTTAATATTTACTCCCGTGTGCAGTGATCTGATTTCATCTGATAATACTGAAAGATACATAGGCAATTTACATATAACGTTTCATGTATATTTGAGCAGTGTACAGTTGGGAAAACCACTTCTTTTTTATTTTATGCTTATGGCGTATAATTTGGGTGTACACTTATAATGTACTTTATCGTAAATACAAAAATTAGAAGTCTCAATCTTACTCTTCTTTTCAACAGTAAGAAGCTAATAAATTAAAACTTACCCGATATATTTTTCACTGTAACTATGTATGTCTATCGGTAAGAAAATAGTTATTACTTACCACACTTATTCCTTTGTGTAACTGTTTCAGTCTTTCAGTAAGGCATTAGTTACTTACCACACTTATTCCTTTGTGTAACTGTTTCAGTCTTTCAGTAAGGCATTAGTTACTTACCGCACTTTTTCCCTCTCGGCTACCTGCCAGCCTAGCAGTTACTTTTTAATTACTACTTACCAAAATATCGTACTGCTTGACAGTAAAGTTTCGTAAGACTTACCACAGTAATGCTGTACAGGGACCATTCCAGCACTGCAGTAAGATCTACCACCAAACATTGAGCTGTTTTCCATGATGGAGTACTCTAATCCGTCCACCATTGTGTTGAATACGTCCCCGCCTATTTTAGTGAGCATCTCATTCAACACTCTGGTAACAATGTCCCTGCAGCCATCGGATGTAACTGTAATACAGTATAATTACTATCATATTTCATCAAATCCTGAATGTCACATTCTGTATCTTAAAATTACCTTATCATGCTGTTTTCTTTAATTTTGAATTAGAAATATTCATCCTTAGATTATTGATTTCACTGTGAACTCAGTAAACGGAATAATGAGATGTCAGATTTAACTGTCTGGGAACAACTCACTGTTACACTGAGATACACATGAAACTCGCACAGTGAAAAGCTGTTGAATAACTGTATTTGATATCAGTTGTTTTCATTGACAATAATAATATAACATACTTTGAAAAATATTTTAATGAGGGCAATTAAATGTTCACTCCGAAAGTATATATAATGTAGCACTCATCGCGCTTACACGAATAGGTTGTGACTGAAAATCATTGAAAAATGACACCTTGACTATTCACTGCTATACAAATATATTAATTGGATATTAGTGATTACAAATAAAAGATACATGTACCTCGGTTATACAATGGTATACACTATAAGGAAAGGGTTTATGTCCGTGATTCAGTAACTGATAATTGGCTTATAATCTGATATAATGTATATATAGCTGGTATTACCATATAGGGCCTCAATTTCAATCAATAAGTCATTAAGCTAATAAAGGTGGATAAACTGGTTCCTGATCTATAAAAATGTACAATTTATTTATAATACATATGCGTTTCTTCTACTATTTAATAGTTTCAAGTAGTATGGAGCTTTATTTTTCAAACAATTTAAATCCATAGTTTATCTTTCTGAATAAATGTGGTGAGTAAAGGATTATAAAACTCCTTACCATGGTTCCGTATTCAGTGTAAACCCTTTTAATTATTTTTGTCTGGCACTTAGCTTTGTATATATATATCACAAGTGGGGTATGTATTTTAAGGAAAAATTTGTCTCTACATATGGATGTTGATTCTGTTGACTGTTATTACCATTGGTGAGTCTTAAATAGACGAAGCGGCCATTTTAAACTGGAAAATGTTGACTTTGTTCAGTTTTCTTCCTCTACAGACTATATTGCTAAATAATTTAATCATTTATAGTCTTTCAGTGACTTTTTTCAAGCATTTAGACATTTCCTACCCAGTCGGAAATCCATCTTAGAGAATAATCTAATTAGCTTACATTTTCTTGCGTCACATGTGAAATCTGCTGCGAATCCTGCTGTTGTTGGACTCACTGATCGCTTCAGTCGATTCTTGGAACAACTCGTCACCTCTATGTCTACAAGGGAACACGACCCGTCCTGTTGACACGTAAGAGAATCAGTCCCTTCGTACACCGCCTTCTTTATTTTCTTCTCAACGATTTCAGCTTTTGCTTCAGAATCGCATACCAGGTCAAAGTATGATGCCATGTACTTCCATTCTAATTTGTTTCCGTCCATTATTCCTGCAAAACAAATATTGTGTCAGTCTTCCGGAGTTATAAGCATTTCAGTATTTCAGCTTAGGTGTGATAACAGGCAGCAAAGGTTTTACACCGGTTTTACGACCTCTCATCTCTGTATATGTTCGACAGAAATATGCCACTTTTATAAATCTATAAGTAATATTTCTGTAAAACATGTACTTTAACCTCAAAATATCTAGTCGATTTATCTAAAAACTCTATAGGGTCATAATTATATATCAGCGTAAAGTAGTATTAATATTTGAAACCGAAAGCTAATCTAAATAGAGTGCTATCACGCCTTTCACTTTTTGTGCATGAAACTAAAGAGATATTAATGATTAATTTGAGTAGATACTCGAACCTGTTACAAATAACACTATTCCTAGCATGTGATTTCTGGCAATTTTTCTCAGTACTTCCTGGAAAAAGGATATAAATTAGGCATATGAACAAAATTGTGATATAATATGACAGGACAAAGCTTCAATAAAAGCGTACTGGTGCAATCAGGAAGTCTCCCGTAAGGATTGTCGTCGGTTTGGAAGTCCCAAAGATGGAAGGTATCCGGTCCACAACGATAGCTCTCTTTAGCTGCGTGATCGAAATCGTAGCCGTCGTCACACGACAGTGTACAATTGATGGCATCCTCGGAGGAAGCCCATTGACAGTCGAGGACAGCGTGGGCGGGAGTAGTCAGGTTCGTACAAACTATGAAGATTGAACCAATCAATGTAAACATAATTCATTCTTATTCGATAGGAAACTCATACTTATGTTTTTATATCATTTTTATATTTCATTTGCTTGGTATGATTTGAAGTAAAATTTCATTTTTGGTTGAAGAGTTGCTGAAAGCAAGAAACTGATATTCAACTGCGTTATTAGCAAATGAAACATAAAGGAAGTCTGTGGTAATATTTCATTCTTATTCCAATATAAACTGGGTGGGACTTCATTGTCCTCGAAATTAGCATGTTCTATTTCTATTTTTCATTTTTATCTTTTACGTCACAGAGTCACATTTCATGGAACATCTTAATAACGTCATTCGATTGTCCATTGGATTTTTTTCATTAATTGTCTCTGATATAATAAATAATTTTCATCAAGTAAATACATTGAATCAAACTTTAATTACAGTATTATAAATGTGTCATATTTCTCGGTGATTCTTTGCATCGTTTATTCTTAGGTTATATGTATAAGACTAATACACAAGAAACTCATTAACTCGATACCAGGAGTACCGTAATTTTGTAATAGTAGGGTATACCTTAAATGGCTAGAAACGATAAATGTGGGTTATATCAGATAAATATTAATATTTTAAATGCTTATTTATTCCATACTTATTGCTGCTAGCTCTCGCGATTCACCTGTACAGTTTCCCAAATCACACGTGTCGTGTTCGGTGGTGTCTCCGGAACAATCCTTTCCGCCATTATCTGGAGTGGGACTGTTACACAGCCGTGTTCTGTAAGTAGTTCCCTCGCCACATGTGGTAGAACACATAGACCAGTTACTCCACACGCTCCATTCGCCATCAACTGTTGAAGACGTATTAAAGGTTATTCTATCAATAGATAAACGTAGATTTGAAATGAAAATAACAAAATAAAAAAATAATTTCCTAACGACACTATTAAATGTTACAAACTATTCAGTTACAAATATATTTCAAATCAATTATTTTAAGACATGTCGTTATCTTATGATAGTTTAGTTTCCAGATGTCAAACTTTGCACCGAGACATTTTGTTTTCTTTTTTATTTATTACTTACATACAGTGCACTTTAACAGATGACTACTGTTATATGAGTCACTATGAAAAATTCTTATCAAAGTGAAATTGATTATATTACTTAGACGAGCAATTGTACTAAAACAAAGTATACATCATTATCAATAGTAAATCGATTCTTTTATATTGTACATTCAGTTTTTTTCTTCTCTTTCAAACAGATTTCCAAGAAAAACATTATCCAAATGTATAGTTATTTTCAAATGTGACTATGTTTCTAGATAACAGAGGTCTATGCAAGCTTTGCTTGATCAAAACATAACGGCTCATACCAACTGCTATTTCACAAAGCTCTCCTGTAAAGTTGACATCACATTGGCACGTGTAACCCCCTACGCCGTCAACACACGTGGAGTTATTCTCACACACGTTGTCTGCACAGTCGTCAATGTTATATTCGCAGTTATCTCCCTTTAACCCTATAGGACAATCACAGCTGTACGTATGCAAACCGTCTGTACATGTACCACCATTACACGCGTCACTGGTACAGTCGTCATGGTCTAGTGGAAACGAAGACAATTAAATATTTTTATTATTATTTCATTTCATCTTAAACACTATGGGGTTTACTTATGTATAGATATTACTCCACATGATAATATATTATAGATATCATTTAATGTTATACTGCCATGGCATTTAAAGGCTTTCAAATTAAATAATTGTGTACACATATATAAGAGCTGTATCTGTATACGTATATTTATATGATCCGAGATAATATGATTATTTATAATAATACTAATAATCATAATTCGAGGTTCTTATATACCGCTTTATCACAACCTAGTTCGTAGGTCGTCTGAAAGCGGTTCACAAATTATTATCCGTGGTTATAGGGCCTTTGCAACCAGCCAATATCTTTCTCAACTCCCTGGGGAGCATACAGTCGGTGCTGCCATTTCGGCGCTCACAGCTAGCATTGAACAATTCTAGCACTTCCCACCCACGTACTCATTTACAGCTGTGTAGACTGGAACAAGCGGAGTAAATTATCTTGCTCATAGATACAACACAGTGCCGCGACGTGACTCGAACCCGCAACCATTCGGTCACGAGCCCGGCGTCGTACCACTGGACTACCGTGCCTTTAAGTATGAACTATGATAAATTAATCAAAGATAAAACAAAACATTGTATTTAGTTGTTTTTTTTCTGGTGAATTTTCGAAACATTTTAGGGGCGTATACAATGTGACACAGTCAGTATTACGTATATCGAGAATAGCTCGGAGAACTTGTGTAAATTTATTACGTATATCGGGAATATTAATCCAGATTACTATGCACGTAACAATAGATTATAATCGAGTATAAATATAACCCAGGAGGGGGATAATGGGGGGAAGAGCAAGGGACGGACAGAAGAGCAAGGGACGGCTAGAAGAGCAAGGGACGGACAGAAGAGCAAGGACCGGACAGAAGAGCAAGGGACGGACAGAAGAGCAAGGGACGGCTAGAGAAGAGGTTAGAAAGGCACGGTTAGAGAAGAGGCCAGAGGGGCTAGGGATGGCTAGAGATGGGCTAGAGCTTGTACAGCTAGAGACAGCTCGGAGACGACTGAGAGCGAGACCGAACGATAGAGACCGATTCTAATACATTTGTACTTGAGGTTAACAGAATAAACTTCTAACCAACCATCAACCCTTGTCACTCGTGTTGTGTTACAACCTATATGAACTTAATATATAATGCATAAGAAACTATTGTATGTTTTACCGTCGCATTCACTGGGTATTTGTAAAAAGATGTGGTTATCATCAACTGATTCGAACTGTTTCCAACCAAGAATATCCCCTTGTGTGGTGCTGCGGCAATGCGAGCTTCCCTTCACTATAGCGTCTATGCCTCTGCCAGTAGACCATATATTCAATTGGGATATACCTCCTACAAAATCTCCACCTGCAGATAATTAGAAAACCATATACGTTCGTAGGTACAGCTGTTAACAATATCTCCTGTTTCTGATAAAGATCTGTAGATATATATTATCTTATGGAAGAGAAAACAAAGATAATAATTTCTATTTCGTAGCATTTGCAAAAAGAAATTAAGAAGTTTATAACATTCACTTGATATATGAAGGTCAGGCTGTAAAATAAACGAAAAAGTATTATTCATATATCTCATGAAATAAAACAAATATCAATCTGTCGCAAAAAGACAACACAACACCTATGAAATTGTATTTTTGGCAATAAACTATCGCCATGATATTGACTTTCCTTTGGGAGCTAAACCTAAAAGCTAACTGCCTTTTAAAACCTTAATGTATATATAATTTATACACCAGCAACATAAACGATGTTCATACCACCAATTTCAACATGCGAATCCCCGTTTTCTGTATGGTTTCCTTGGTTGTAAGGATATTTTTGAAGAACAATTCTCTCGGAATCCAGATATACCTCTGTCTTACTGACATCTACCACCATATAATTCCACTTTGTGTCATTCAAAAGTAGGTCTGCGGTCGCCTTAAATCTACCAAGACAAAACAACATGTGTCATCTATCTACCGTTTTAATTATGGGTATCGTTATAGGTGAGCCGTTTTGCAACATCCAGAAAACAAATGGAACGTAAACAAAAGTTCTGCCAGTAGTGGTATACTTTCTCTGGCAATTTTCTGAAAGTATTTGATGCAAGTTAAATCATCACTTTTTTTTCCGTTGATACATTGGATTGGATAAACTTATCAAGCTGATATCTTTCGCACTGTGACAAATATCAAAAGCGACATCTGTCACAGTGTGAGAAATCACTTTTTGGTATTGACCAATCTGAATGCTACTTCCTATTCACTGCGGTCAAAACCGCAGATTTTCTTTTAAATTTGTAAATAATGCAACAATACATTAAGTGGTTTTCTGATACACCTTTGCTGTATTCAACAATATATTTACGTATCTATATAATCAACATTTTGTAAGCCAATCTTACCAGATAATAGCGGAAAACGGCAAAACTTCGTTGAGTAGCCCGTTCAGAATGGCGCGTAGCCTCGTTATCAAGTATGACGTCATTATAATATGGCGTCAACGATTGCACTATCCAATCTCTACATGTATTGATGCGATAGCATTGTCAACGTTTTGACACTTTAACATTGCAATAAATACAGCATGTAATGGTTACGTAAACCTACCCAAAACCTTGGAGCTTTATACCGGTTCTGTTTAAAGCGATGTCCAATTGTTTATCTGGATAAACGATATTTAGGACGGATCCCAACTCGGTGCTGCCGTCCATCATTATCCAAAAACTGACGATGAAACTTGCAGGTCGACTCAATGTTACGTTCAAGGGAAGTATGAAATTTCCAACCGCGCTCGTAATAACCAGGTCAAAATCTGTATAACACAATGATTATAAAGAATGAAAATTAAATTAAAATAAAATATCATAAATTGCAGGATTTAGAAAGGAATCAATTTCCATTACTGTTTAATAGTAAATATCTTGTATTTTAGTAAGATCAAATGTAAGGTCCTTTATTCACAGTGTCTAGTACATGTTGTAGTCTGAAGGCACATTAATGAATATTTCATCTTATATAAAACATAGTAAGATTAATTGTAACCCGGTACAAATATTGACCTTTACAGCTGGTCACAGAAGTCTCGCCTTCTTGAATGGTTGTCCGAGATCCAGAACATAAAGTACATTCTGTGGCACCGTAAGTGTTTGTGTACGTGCCAATCTCGCATAAGGAGCACGGTGGTAAGCCGATTTTGGAATATGTTCCAGGAACACAGGCCACTGCAAAGATTAACATAATAAGAATTACAACAAGGAATCACACATCTAAATCCACCAATCAACAGGTATTTCGTACGTTTGAAGCTCTCATCTTAATTAGTTCTAGTTAATACAATGCAACGGAGCAAATATAAAATGGACATAGTAACAGGTAATTGGATGATTATAATCCGCAGAAATTGAATTTATGAAAAATGTATGTCTTTAGCAAAGTTTGATATTGATAGTAAAATTGACATTGGAGTAAATAAGAGTGTTTTCCCCGTATTGACCAACCATTTTGCTTTAAAAGTTTCAGTTGGTGACATCTGAAGCCTGGAAAAGTCTAACAAGTTATAAAACCTGCAAATAATGTTATTTGCATCCTTTGTCAGGTATTTATCTATTAATCTAGACAGTCGTCTACGAAGTTTAACTACTGATAGTAATATTAGCTGTTTGTATAGTTAGTAGTAATATATACTGAATTTTTCATTAATAATTGTCTCTGTACAATCACGTCAAGCATGTATCATGGAAAAAGATGTTATCGCCTTCAGAAGCAATTATCTATGGAATGTAACCCCCAAGATGTATGTTCAGAATGAATTTCTGTTTTCATGTGATGAATATCCATGCAAAATTAATAAAATTCTGCAGCGATGACATTTAAACATATTGATCAGAATCATCGCCTTTTATGTGTATTTCTTGAACTATTAGATTGTTATACAGTTAACACGAACCCCAGGGCACCTAAATAATAAATGAAATTTAACGTTTGATGCACATAACAATTCCCTGTCAATGGACGCTGACAAAAAGTGGACCTGAATGTAAGCAACAATTCCCCGTAAGATTGGTCGTTTTCACTGTAGTTTGTTCATACCAAAAATCTTTTTACTGGTTACCTTCACATTCATTCTTGGATAGTGCCCCTTTGTGGCGCGTGCTTCTGCCAGTTGGACATTGTATACACGTGGATTGGGCCGCTGATGGCTGATACTGACCAATGGGACATAATGGACAAACTTGTGCGTCATCATCATAGAATGTTCCTGCCGGACACTCCACTGAAATAAAACGTTGACGTATTTTTCCAAGTTTACGAAGATACTGCCTAGCACTTACACATGATATAAATATAAATTGTATTCGAAACTTGTTTTAAACCACACACGACGTGACAAGAACAGTGCGACAACGAGACCAATTTACTGAGAGAGAAAAAAACAATTCATTCACAAAATTTGTACTTGCTATAGTAAAAAAATGAGGAAAGGATAATAAACGTATATACAAATGTAACTCACTTTTCCATTCTATATTTGATTTATTAAGTTTGCTAAAACACTGCGATGTGAATTCCTTTAAGTGAACCATTCTCTATTCCAAAACATTGGTTAGACGCGATTATATTGTATTTCCTTTCCTTTTAAAAATTAGAACAAAATAACTTAAGCTCCCAACCTCTCAACCTCCAACCTCTCAACCTCTCAACCTCTCAACTCATTCTCTGTTGATGTAAACACAAATCTGATCAAACTTCGCTCACGTACTGCATGATTCGCTGGCGTAAGATGGAATAGTCTGTCCATCACACACGATGCGCAATCCGTTGTTGTGGACCTCTTGAACAATAAGAGTAATGTTGTCATCCATGTTTATATCCAAGGCTGCACTTTCATCACTAACATTGACAAACAATCCCTTCATCTTTTCGTTCAATTTGGCGAACGACCTGTTCCCAAACGCAGTAACGGTAGTGATAGCCAAATCAAACTCAATGACAATACCGGCTGCTCTTTTACCTGCTTGTGAGCCACATATGACCTACATAAAAATGCATAACAATTTGTTGTCACAGGAAAATAGTGAATATACACTTTTCAATATTTCATCAGAAACCTCATTTCGGAAACGAACGTAATTGGATCATTGAGATTTAATTATATGCATTGGTAGATGTATTTTAGTAACCCAACCAACTTTAAAGTAGGAACAAGAATTAGTCAAATAAACGAAACGAACTTTCCCATATTATTTTGTATCTCATTCTAGCATTCCACCGACATTTATAACTTATTCTCCAGTGCATTGAGTGCCACATCCCAGTAAAACGCTATTAACATGAACTATTAACATGAGATATTATCAATGAGTGAAATTTATTACCTCAACGTTCATAGGAAAACAGCTTTCCTCGTTGGTTTTACAAGCATCCATATAGACAGACTGCGTCAGTGCCTGAACGAACTTTTGTCTAATACTATCCGTAACAGTCGAATTTCTGCAATCTCCGTCAAAGTAGTAATCCATACTTATCGCCATGATTGCTTGGTGACTGGAGTGAGTTCCTATAACATCAGAATAATGGAATCATGTCTAAAAATTGGAGAGAAAAACAATAGCTGTATCTTCTTATAATAAGCTTCCTTTAACTTTTGGCCTTTTTCATATATTGATTTAATTTGATGGAACTTAATTCAATTATTTTGGAAACATTTCGCATCTTCTTTCTACACAAAGTCTTAATATAAATGTAGATATTGTTTATCATGATAGAGGTACCAATATCGAAATAGATGTGGTAGGTCGTCTTTGTTCCGTATATACATCTATTACATTTGTAATGTGTGTACAAATCAAACGTTATAGTAAAAAAACATTTTCTCGTTGATTTATTAATAAATGAATACGGTCTTGATATCCTTGTTCATTTGATTTCAACATACGTGCACAATTTGGCAATTTAGATCCAGGTGTCCATAAACCAGATTCGCCGCACACATACATTTCTGGAAACTGATATCCTGCTGGTACATCATAACCTTTCCTGCACAACATCTGGCAAAATTTCCCTCCCAACCAGTAATCGCAGGCCACAGCACCATGTGAAGGTGGTTCCAGTCTGTCCTCACACAGATGTTGGGCTTCAATATTAAGAAAACGTGTTTCATGTAATTGTGATATGCCAAACAGCTCCAATGTAGATCTTGATAATCAGACTACATATAAGATCAGTCAAGTATATATAATTTGACTTCTATCATAGACATAAATTGATATGATACAGTACTCTACTATGGTTGAATACGATTAATCCAAAAGGGAACATGCAACGCTATTTGTACACGTTATCTTTGTGTTTGAACGGTTGTGATAATGATGTGATTTTAAAGATTTCACAAAATCATAGTTCTCTAATTTTCAAAAAGTACCAACCTTCACAGAACGGTTGGTGTGAGCCCCAATGCCAAGTAACGTATTGGCCATTGCTTCCTTTCTCGCAGATAGCCTGTCTCGAGCCATTGATCACTGACCCATTTGCACATGTAAAATTGCATTCTGCTCCAAACTTGCTTCCACCTTCACATATCACGGTTTGTAGAGGAAGATTATAAACTTTCGGGCATCTCAGTACTTGTCAAAAAAAAGAAAATAATCCTCTTTACGTACAAAATTAATCACTGCTGCATTATACATGTAATATTTTTGTTTGTTTCTTTTTTGCATAGATGATGTTAGCATATAATTTTATCGTGTTACCTTATCATGACTTGAGTTTCTATAGTTCCTTTCAATTGTGTAACATACTTATACATGAACAGACTATATCTGAGTAATCATTTGCCATCGACTATATGCAATACTCGACTGTTATTTGAGTGTATGTTAAGCAGCCACTTAATACGTTAGAAAAAAATGTTCTGTTTGTGTGTCAGACGTAGATGAAGAAGAACAGAACATACCTTTCATCACTATTTTCATTTTGCATTGGAATGCCTTGTTTCCTGCTCTGTCTGTGGCGTCAAATGTGACGTCATATGTTCCTGCTCTGAGGTTGTTCATATAGCTGTCTGGTCCAGCCGTTTGATTTAGTGTTACAGACATGTCAGCATTGTCATGTGCAGATGGTTTAAATTTGTCCCATACCAATCGGCCGCTGACGCTGTCACGGTCGGCAAACCCGTATACAGCACCAGTACAGTTGGTAATGACCGGTGGTAAGATATCTGATGAAGTAAACATATACAATGCTTGAAATCGTGTTATATGGTAATCTTCCCAATATCTTTCACATTTATCTTTAATAAGAAGATGGTTCCTTAAGGATTCCTGCACCACTGCCACAAAATGTAAGTACGCATTGGAAACTGTTTTCACGACATGACTGCAATCATTTCTGCAAACCCTACCTCGCGGGACTTTTATGAGAGAAAAAAGATAAAGATGAAATAACAAGACATTATCAACAGCAGTGATCAGAGTGTAAAAATATCAATGGCATTAGACTGGGGTTCGAACCCTGAACTTCATATTTTAATACTATCGCCCTAACCGACTGAGCTAGAAATAGTCAACAGAAGTGACCTGTCTTAATAGTGCTACAGTTATTTCTAAACATCAGGTTGGTAAGTATGGATTATGAAAAGATTCATGTAGCACAACCAGATGTGTTTATATGTGACGTTTCGATGACTACAGTAGTACGGTATGTACTCTGTCACCTTCATCAGACAAATGACCAGTGAAGCGTATGTTCACAAAAGTGTAAAATAGGTACGAGTTGTCAACAAAGCAACAGCCATGAAGCCACACAAGACGCTTCGTGATACTTAGTATCGTAGTTCACCCTAAGGATAAACACATACAGAAAACGTCGTAGAATGTATATACAAAATCGGATGCAAAAACTGGCACGCATCGTGTATTGGAGAGACTGGAAGGCGTTTTGGGGTTCGCCCTGGTGAACACCGGAAAAATACAGAAACAAAAGAGAAAAAGAAATTCACCCAATCAGAAAGGAGGCAGTGTTCAGATTCCAAGATCAATTAATAGATTTCTTGACAACTCGTATATAGTTTACACCTTTGTGTATAAACGCTGCCTGGTCATTTGTACCGTACATCGGAACGTCACGCATAAACACTTTTTGGTTGTGCTACATGGATCTTTTCACAGTGCTACAGTTGTGTCTCAATTAAATCAATTGTATAGGACAATCCAAAGTGCAGTGGGACATGGATCCTTAAACTTATATACTAAAGTCCCATTCAATGATTATGGAAGAAAACTCATTACCCCTGCATGTTGGTATGCTTCCTCTCCATTTTCCAGTTGACGTACAGACGCGAACTCGAGTCATACCGGGACTTATATCGAACCCTTCACGACAGCTGTAAGAACATTTGCTCCGGAAGTTGTTCATGTCGGAACAGCTCATTGTCATTCCCTCTGGTACAAGTAATTTCTCACAGGTAACACCTTTCAACAAATAGACACATTCTTGGCTTGACTGTCTCCCAAGTAAAATCTTCTACTTATTTTACATCGAATGTTGCTCGAATTTAGTCATATATGATATACAAGTGAGTTCAAAATATGTTAAAAGTGATGAACTATTTTAAATGTCAATTATTTAACAATAAGCCGCTGAGCTAATATCAATTGGCAAAAAACATCTACCATAGTTAATCTGTCAGTGTTGAATTCACAAAAGTATTCAGCACGATTTTTGTGAAAATTGCAAGAATTCTTATAACACGTACGTTTGCAAGACGGTTGCCGTCCTGTCCATGTTGCCGACTCTGTACACTGAATAGACCTTTCCCCGACAAGTATATGACCTTCATAACATCCAAACTGACATCGAGTCCCTTTCCGCATCTCAAAACTAGTATGGCATATGTAGTACCCGTCCTTGATTTTGGAAAGGCCAGTGCAAATTGGCACTAAATATGAAATAAATATAAGGAGCATGACTTGCAGGATACTGCTTTACTATTTGTGCTGTTAGTATATATGATAACATATACGCTTTATTTTAGTTCGAAGTTGGCTAAAATGTCATAAATACCACACTCATTGTCCTTAGAGATATCGAAGGAAAATATATAAAATTATTGTTCTTTTGTGACCTTTATTCGGCTGGAGCTAAACAGGTCATTGCATCTTTCATTTAAACAATCATCAGCACATTAAAATTGAGTGTTTTTTAACGTTATACGACATGAATAAATAAAAGTTAGTGACAAATATGACGTCACATAAAAGGGACGTCAATTATCACGTCATTACATAACTAGCTTTCGTAGGTTGATTGCCAAGTTAAAGTAATAAATACATTATAAATGAAAGCATGAACGTATACTTAACGTTAATTGATGCCACGTACAGCAACAAATATATAATTCGTAAAAGGAACATTCGTTAGAAACTATCACCTGTGATGTGAATGTTGAATGAACAACTTCCCCAATTTCCACTTCTGTCCCTTGCGTAGTAGCTTATTTTAGTATCACCCTTTGAGAATTGCAGGCCCGGTGCTAGACCAACACGAGTTGCCCTGCAATGAAAGAAATTATGGTACAATTTCCTGTTAAACATCAAATTAGTTTATCCGGTTGTCTTTACATAGTTTCCATAAAAACAATTTCTCACAACAAATAAATAATGTCCCATGAAGTAAAACAACATAAATACATTGTTTTTCCCATATACTTACTATTCAAAATATTTAAGGGACCCCTCAAATTCACTCGATATGTGGTATTGATAATATTTGTTATGATGTACGTAAATAATTGCAGAGTAAAGTGTATTGTTAGAAGATTACCACATCACTATTCCAACATCCTGCCCCGTATCAACAAGAAGGAATTAAGCCCTTTGGCATGATACGGTGGTCCCGGGTTGATAAGGTTCGGTACATATGAAAAGCCACGGTATAGTATACAGTTAAAGTATGAGGTTGAGGGATATAGCAACTTTCTGGTGTCCCGAGACCAAGGGACACCATAAACTTGCTATATCCCGCAACCCATACTTTAACCGTTTTATTATACCGATACACACTGGAGAGATAGTTTTAACTAGAAAATATTTGTAAACCATAAGCTGTATAGCTTTACGTCCCAACTACCCTTTTGGTGGCAATGGAGCCAAATGCTTCCGAGTTCGGTAGCAAGCTCCGCCCACCTCGCGCGTCGCTTCCGAGTTCGGTAACAAGCTCCGCCCAACTCTCGCCTGATTGGCTCGGCGGAAACACCCGAGTGTAGGTGTGTTTTAGTTCCCAGACTAACACACAGGACTAAAACACAGTCAGGCCAAAGTGGGGATATATTCAATTTAACCGATTACTTTTATATAGAGTAAATAAAGTAGAGGCATAATAATTGTTATTATTCGAAGGTTTTTACTTTTGCTATAGTTGCAGTCATCGTTGAATGTGCAAAATGAATAGCTAAGCGACTTATTTTATTTTATTGGGCGTGTCGGGCGGATACGGGTCGGTCCCAGATAAGGCCTGCATAAACAACCCATATCAAGAACAAGTATATATACATTTTGTAGATGATAAAATATGGATAATTGATTGAATTTGCACGTAATATATCCAATAATTCTCCTTTTATTTGTTATTATGACTTACTTATACATTTTAGATGTAAGTCATCATAAGGAAATGTAACATGTGAAAAATAGGTCTACCTGATGGAGACGCCATTGTCATTAGCTAGTGGTTCTTTCCAGGAGACTGTCGCGTGGTCTTGTAAATCATCGGAAACATTATGTAGATCGGGTGGACATTGGATGGAAGGAGGAGTGTTATCTCCTGTATTGAGTAAAATTATCAAAATTACACCTAACTTGAAATATCTATGGATTTCACAGCAATGGAAGGCATTGCCAATGCATCTTTCTTCGTCACATTCAATGGCAAAAAAAAAAAAAAAAAGCTGAATGTAAAATAACATCTTAGAAAACATAGCCTTTTTGGCCCTTGAATGAATTAAAGCTGAATAGGATAAAGGAAACTTTCTAATAAATAACTATTTATGTTCGCGTTTCACGAGGAGAGACAATCGTAAATTACAATATATTGCCGTTATTGGTTTTTAAAAAAGCAATAAGTTGACAAACAAATTGATTTTAAAAATGATATAAATATTTGTACTACCTATAATTGATTGCTTTTTCGAAAAATAAATGATGAATTTATTTAAAATCCGGACAAATACACATGTAGAAATGTCACTACAAAAAAAAACCAGGGGGTAACCATCGTACATTATCAGATGTCTTAAGCTTGCTGATATATCGTATTAAATATAGAATTAACACGTTAGAGTGAAATGGCCTTTAGCAGATTACTGTTTGTTTTGTGGTTTAAATTTTCGTAAAAAAAAGCCATTAGAAAATCAATCTTTAAAACAAAACTCAGATAAATTACAGAAAAGATGAACCGGAAGGTTTGATGTTTTGCTATAAACCGATTTGATGGAAAGAAGTTTCAACACCGTGTGAATATAATACTTCATTGTTGTTGTTCAAGATGTATCACTATTTACCAATCTCATAGAAGAAAGGTCAACTTACGGTGACGATTTCCACAAAGTAGTCCTAATGTTAGTAAGCACCCTATTCCTCTCACGAATCCTTTAACAACTTTGCCGAACCATCCTCGTTTCGTTCTTATCAATACGTCATGTTCTGTTGGAAAACTGTATCCTGTGAAATATGATGATGTACAATATAAAGTACTCATAAGCTTTGAGATACCTATTAGAATGAAGAAATGTACATAATTATGTATATGCTTTTCTGAAAGATCTACAATAATACCATTATTTTGTCTTTAAAGAGAATATTTAGAGTTTGCATGAATAGTTTTTGTTTCATTTTTCGATATCACAACAATGAGTTAAGTGTGTATCGCCTACAAAATAAAAGCAAAAGCAAAAGCACAATGTTGCATTCTGTCCACTATTCAATAAATATTAGGAGCATTCCACAATATATACCTTTTTGGTCAGTGAAGGACCATTTTCCATCTGAACATGTTTTCCGTGTTGTAAATGTTTCATTTGCACATCGGAAAAAGCAGACGGATCCGTTACTGGCATGTGACTTGCTTATGTAAAGCTTGCCCGTCTTGTCAGTACATTGCATAACGTCACAAATATCTCCATGTCTAATCGTACAATCTCCATTCTGTTTAAACACACAAGAACCTACTTTAGGTTCAACTATGAAATAGAAGTTTCCAACTTAACTTTCACAAGCTAAACTTCTATGTAAATTGAAAACACTAAGAAAATACCGACTCGTCACCCAGATTTTCAAACTGAAACGTGAAACTATGACAAAAACGCAATAAATATAACACTAGGCGTTTCATTCAATATCAACAACTTTTATCGACAATGAAATGGTAACATGTCAAAATGATTACCCTGTATAAGTCCTCTCCTTTGGTGGCATATTGACATATATGAAAAGACTGTTAATAATAAATATGAGAAACATGTGTCGTAATTAGCTTTAGAGCTTAAGACAAGTATGTAAATCTCGGTCGTATCCGAATAATATCCAATTTGCTAAAGTAGGTAGCGGGTATTGACAACGAAACAACAGTGATCACTGACGAGAATTAACATGGGCCTTAACGGTCACATGAGTCCTACAGTATTTATTTTTGTTGTTGAAATATGAAGTGGAAAATGTTGTCAATCCTCCGTACCAATTTGAGTAAAAAATAGTTAAGTATAACGTTTGGCAAGACAATGAGTTGATCATTCCTAGACCGAGTTTCAGTTAAATTGGCCTATTAGTATTTGATTTTAAGTTTGATTTTTTTTTCTTCAAAATGACCGACCTGAATAATAACAACACTATATCAGGACCACGAGTCGATCATTCCAACCAAGTTTCAGTTAAATCGGCCAAGTAGAACTTGACTTTAAGTTTCAAATAGTTTTTCAAAATGGCGGTCGTGGCGACAATATTGGAATCCTGATCGACCCTAAAAATAACATTACTTTGTCATGACTAAGAGTCGATTATTCCTACTAAGTTTCAGTTAAATCAGTCTAGTAGAGCTAGGCTTCAAGTTTGAAATACTTTGTTTTCAAAATTGCGGCCGTAGCGGCCGTATTGGATTTCTAATCGACCTGAAAAATAACTCTTGGTCAGGGAGATGTCAGTAACATTCCAATGAAGTATCAATGAAATCCCTTCAACAGTATTTCAGCTTAAGTTGAAAATGTAAAATGTTAACGGACGCACACGACGACGGACAAAGACGTATAGCATTAGGTCACTTGAGTTAAAACTCAGGTGACCTAAAAAGTATCGACCTTCATATCACTCAAGGTAATGGAGTATTTTCTTATGAGATAAAAACGACTACAAAACTTGTCAAAAGTTCAATTTAGGTCGATAAATATCTAAGACACAACATTGTCGATAAAACTGAAATTGAAACTAAAGGGTTTGTTTTACCAGTTCTAATAATCTCTTTGATATATTCAGCCTCATTGAAAGATATCCAAGTCGGCAAAGAGGGAAAGGGGAGAAGGGCACAATTAGCTCTCATAGGTTGACCACCGTGATCAACAGAAGTATTGATCACTAGAGTCCTTTTTCATCCTTCACCAAACCAATCAACCGTGATAACATGTATGCCATTGAATACATACTGGATCAATTCTAATATGATACGTCATGGTGGTGATCATTTTGTTGAAAAGACACAAACTACTGGTTGGTGATGACAACTCAATATTGTCATCAAGAAGACAGAAAATACGACAGCAAAAAAGAAATAAGTCACGTAGTCAAATAATTGACGGACATCTTAAATGTAATTTGATAAACGATGTAGCACACCAATTGTAGCACAATTTTGGAATATTTTGACAGAAATAAATGTTTAAGAGAAATGAAAAGCACTTTTGCATAAATCGAACATGATTATTACATTAATATACTTAACATGAAATAATGTGACAAAAACTATATCTTTACAACGCTCAAATAAAAAGGGAATAGATTGTTTTATAATTTTTTTATAAATTTTAAAGATATCTATAGCTAATAATACAGTTTTTCATTTAACATTCATAATAGAATTATGTTAGACAACTTTCCTTACCGTTTTCTCTAAGACGATGATGCTCAGAACCAGTGATATAAGCACCCGCATCGTTGTTGGTCTCTCGAAGGACGAGGAACTTATCTCAGTCAGTACAGGTAGACATGGGGACTTATTCTATCTGTATAAGCGGGTGTACATACCCCCTTTATACATAGAGTATCGGATATTGATCGAGTACCTGGATAAAAGGGCGACCATGCATGATGTCTTTTCTGTTCTTGTTTTATCAAACACTTTTCAAAAATACAATCGAAATCAAGGGGGCGTTATTTGTATAAATAGGTTATGACAACTTTTTAGTTTGATGTCGTATCTTTCAATGTTTGCTAAAACTGCTTCTGAAGTATTTGTTATCTGTAGCAGCCATATGGCGTACTTCTACCTACATGTATTTTTGTATTATTTCTGCAGAGATGGAATCCACGGCTTTTATTCCTATATCAGAGACTGTTCTCTTAGAGATCTATGATCGGCAGCTTGTATCAATAAAACTGAAAATTCTACGTCGTTAACGGCAATCGATTGCCAGTCGTCTGTGTGAAATACTTGATAACTGGACCATTTCGAAGTAAATCTTCTTTATTTGAAACAAATTTCATTAAATTATGTTCTCGTTTTGATTTCCTGTTTTGGTTCAGTGTTATAATATAAAATTTATTCAATGTAATATTTCCTACTTTGTTAGCGGATGTAAACTTTATGAAAGAAAAATGTTTAATGCAAAGTATTTCCTTATAAACTACATCTTCAAGTTACGTATTTACTACTTAAGCTTTAATTGTATTGAAGAGAACGTAGTACAAAAGCTAGCTATCAAATCAATTGGACGTTATACTACTGTCCTCAGTCAACTCTAAAAACCTAAGTACATAATAAGCAGAAACCACGGTCTACATTCTCAAAGAAAGTTAGTTTACCTTCTCCGATTACATATCAGGATATACCAGGAAGAAACATGATATCATTGTTTTGACGTAGTGACAGCTGCAAGACCAATCAGAATGTCAGATCAAACTAGTTTTTGACGATGATAAGTTTTATAGAAATTCTGTCGGTAAACAATCCTCTTTAGTATATTAAATGGTCCCGTTTAAGTTGTTTGTTCAACTGTTTAAGTACACAGATTAAAAAGACTCATCAGTCATTGCAATAATGTGGCTTAAACAGGACCACTGCACGTGCAATGTAAATCAAATGAGATATAAAAGAAAGGAATCAATCGTCAAAATAAGATAAAATAATAATCGACAGCAACTTGTTGATTTTGTTATAAAATACAATGTATAGATTAGGTTACTAGGAAGCATGGGTAGGTATTTAAAGTATTTTTACAGAAAAGTCTAAGTACATGTTCAAAAGATCAAAACATGTATACTTTCTACAAAATTTATGATCCATATTGTGAAACAGGAGATTTACAATTTGCAAAACAAACAATACAGATAAATGCGTATGTTCTCCAGGAAACCTTTGAAACTTAATCTCTAAAGTTTGCCATATTACTATCACACATATGTGTTAGATTCATATTAGGAATAAAGTGTTTCATTTATATTTGGGCAAGGCAAGTTTATGACTAAAAGGCTTTATTGAAATTTTAATATTGATAACATTTCCAATATAATCTAATCACCATTGTCTATGTAGCTCTTTGTTTAGCACGTACGTATAGCTGTTGAAGGCCCCGGATTGGAATCCCAATCTGACTGTTGCAGTTGTTTTTTTGTTAAACCTTGTGCCCAAATAAATATGCCCCATGAAAACTGTAGAAGGTTTAGTGTAGATTTGGGGTCGAAGACTTTGTTGAAGGTCACAGGAATGTGGCCGATCTGTCTGGATCATGGTGACTAGGTAGCTCAGTTTATAACAATGAGTTATATAATGTATGAAAAAGAGTGTATTGAAAGCAAGCCCTCCTACGGGAGGGCACTGTTTATTGGGGAATATATCCCAAGTCCACAAAGCTTGTTTTAATTGCGAGACGTTCGCCAAAGTGAAGTAGGCAATGGGTTCTGTCCCCGGGCCAGGACATACCAAAGTCCTTAACACGTTTTGTTATTCCCTGCCTAAGGTGAGTCCATACTTTTGGAAAAACTCTGTCATTATTTTCTAATTAGGCTTATTTCTTGCATTTTTGATGTAGATTCAATATATGAAAAGAAAAAAGGGGGTTCTCGACTTAATTTTTGAAATATTTGAGTTGTAAAGTAGCCACTCTTCTGAAATTTTCCCCCAAAATATGAAAATTATGTATTAATATGTTTTCTACAATATTTCCAAACTTAAGCTACCACCAAGCTGAATTTTTTTAAACATTACGTGATGTACTATAAAAAGCAAAAAATTCAGAGTTGAGGTCACACAAGTTAGAGAAAATGGCAATCTCTGTTCAGATTTCCGATTGTCAGCCTTAACAGCTTGAAAACTGGACGCGGGTGTCTGCTATGATAATGTAAGGGCATGAAATATCATACAAGTAAGTTTGTTTCCTATCATAGAAACACTGTACTGACATTGAAAAGCGTACATGCCGTGTGTTTTGCGCTACCTACTAGGGATTTAGCTCGTAATCCAGTGGACAGCACAGTGTCCGACCAACGGAAATTCGATCATTTTACGATGTTTCATTAAGTCTACCGGAAATTATACTGCATGAATTATGTCAAATCATGCATCAAATTAAAGAAAAAAAAATCTATCGATTTAGACTCCTCCCGGCGTCAAATTGTGAATGGTTATAACAAAATCGCATATTTTCTGAAATTGGGTCATTTCACTAGGGGGACAGAGTTAGCAAACTTGATTATATTAAAGGTGTATTGACAGACGAGGCTAGTACCTGTGAGCGGGATATGTCGTAACTGGATAACTGTTTATCTGTCATAATATATTCCATTAGGTTTTTTTCATGATTTTCCTATTCAGTGTGTTACAACGGTTAATCATATGTTAAAATTTGGTTTGTTGTTTCATCGAAAAGATTTCATTCGTATTATACAGCTTAAAACTCTTCCTGAAATATATTTCACTATTGTTCTATTTCACGGAAGTAACATGTATAAATATATAATTACTTGAAAACTGCCAGCTTCGTGGACCTGGGATAAATTCCCCAATAAACAGTGCCCTCCCGTAGGAGGGCTTGCTTTCAACACACTCTTTTTCATACATTATATAACTCATTGTTATAAACTGAGCTACCTAGTCACCATGATCCAGACAGATCGGCCACATTCCTGTGACCTTCAACAAAGTCTTCGACCCCAAATCTACACTAAACCTTCTACAGTTTTCATGGGGCATATTTATTTGGGCACAAGGTTTAACAAAAAAACAACTGCAACAGTCAGATTGGGATTCCAATCCGGGGCCTTCAACAGCTATACGTACGTGCTAAACAAAGAGCTACATAGACAATGGTGATTAGATTATATTGGAAATGTTATCAATATTAAAATTTCAATAAAGCCTTTTAGTCAAAAACTTGCCTTGCCCAAATATAAATGAAACACTTTTTTCCTAATATGAATCTAACACATATGTGTGATAGTAATATGGCAAGTTTTAAAGATTAAGTTTCAAAGGTTTTGCCCTGGAGAACATACGCATTTATCTGTATTGTTTGTTTTGCAAATTGTAAATCTCCTGTTTCACAATATGGATCATAAATTTTGTAGAAAGTAAACATGTTTTGATCGTTTGAACAGGTACTTAGACTTTTCTGTAAAAATACTTTAAATACCTACCCATGCTTCCTAGTAACCTAATCTATACATTGTATTTTATAACAAAATCAACAAGTTGCTGTCGATTCTTATTTTATCTTATTTTGACGATTGATTCCTTTCTTTTATATCTCATTTGATTTACATTGCACGTGCAGTGGTCCTGTTTAAGCCACATTATTGCAATGACTGATGAGTCTTTTTAATCTGTGTACTTAAACAGTTGAACAAACAACTTAAACGGGACCATTTAATATACTAAAGAGGATTGTTTACCGACAGAATTTCTATAAAACTTATCATCGTCAAAAACTAGTTTGATCTGACATTCTGATTGGTCTTGCAGCTGTCACTACGTCAAAACAATGATATCATGTTTCTTCCTGGTATATCCTGATATGTAATCGGAGAAGGTAAACTAACTTTCTTTGAGAATGTAGACCGTGGTTTCTGCTTATTATGTACTTAGGTTTTTAGAGTTGACTGAGGACAGTAGTATAACGTCCAATTGATTTGATAGCTAGCTTTTGTACTACGTTCTCTTCAATACAATTAAAGCTTAAGTAGTAAATACGTAACTTGAAGATGTAGTTTATAAGGAAATACTTTGCATTAAACATTTTTCTTTCATAAAGTTTACATCCGCTAACAAAGTAGGAAATATTACATTGAATAAATTTTATATTATAACACTGAACCAAAACAGGAAATCAAAACGAGAACATAATTTAATGAAATTTGTTTCAAATAAAGAAGATTTACTTCGAAATGGTCCAGTTATCAAGTATTTCACATAGACGGCTGGCAATCAATTTATAACAAAATCAACAAGTTGCTATCGATTCTTATTTTATCTTTGACGATTGATTCCTTTCTTTTATATCTCGTTTGATTTATATTGCACGTGCAGTCAGGCGCGTAGCTACCATGTAAGCCAATAGGCCCGTGCTTGCACATGATTTTGACAAGTAAAGGTTTTCATGACGGGTTTTTTTCTTGCTGATACTATAAAGTGGAGTTTAAGTTTTGAATATATAGTATACATATGTAGTTCCTCAGATTAGATACATTGTTAATAGTTAGTACAAAAATGTATGAAGTTTAGAAATGTGCATTGCATTAATGGACAGTTCCAGGCGGAACTAAACTGCTCGATTGAGTGAATTGAGAAACTCACGCCCGGCGCAAACGACTCCGAGTATGGCACAGTGGACACAGACAATCAAAATTAATAAATCGTTAACTTGTCAGTCAACTATACATTTTTGTTTTTGTATTCAATGTTTTCGTGTAAAATTCCGGATACAATAAGTGTTTGGGTTCAACTTTAGTAAGTTGTC